CCTTACTTATTAATTTTTACCCGTTTTTTTTTGTTTTTTTTTTTTTTTGTTTTTTTTTTTTTTTTTCTTAACAGTTGGGAGGTAGTCTCCGTAAGTATAATAACAAAAAAGAAGAAATAAAGAGACCTTACTTCCTAGAAAGACTGACCCAACACTCCTAAAATACAAAAGGATGTCTTAATCTCAAATGCCCTACACTACCAACAAACTTAGAAACCCCGTGAACCACTTAAAGCAAAATGCCTCTCTCTCCAATCCCTCGGCTGGAGCCCTGACTATCCACCACCATTCTTGAACAGAATCCCTTCCATAATAAGCGCACATGCTGGGGTTGGGGTAACACACCTAGCAGCACCCAAATACTCTCACTAAGCCCATGGCGCATCCAAATGGAGTCGACGCAACTAGTGGAGTTGTTAAGATTGGGCAAGAGAAATGGGTGGGAGGAGGAACCAAAGAGGGAAAATCTAATAGAGCAAACATTTTTTTGGGAGAGGTCAATTATCAAATGGACAGTCATTTATCTGAAATTACAAGCACCACCCCCACTTCATATGCAGTATATCTTTTTTTTTAAGTTTCTCTCATGTCCGGCAATTCAAATACCGGACAAGAGAAAGCTAATTTCTTGTCTTCATAAGCCCTACTCTACAACAAACCTTGCTCACCGGCAACTTGGCCAGTGAGTGTTCACCGGAAATTAACCTCCTTTGCAACTTTTTTCTTTTGTGAACTTTTCACTTTTGCGCTTGCTTTCGCCACTGTGATGACCGTTTCCATGCCTTGCCCGCCAGTGTGATAAATTTTCCATGCTTCCATGGAAAAGAAACTGTTCGGTACTCATTGAAAATGCTTTTTCTAGGCTATTGAAAACGCTCTTAAACGAACTTTCTAAAGTTTGCCGGAAAAATGCTTTCACATAAACCAAATGAGTACATTGTCGACCATTTTCCCATGACTTATACTTTTCTTTTATTTTGTCCTTTTATGTATTTTTACATTTATGTGGCCATTAGAACCCCTTGCAACAGTGTTGTCATCTTTATGCTACAACTACTTAGTCAAGAGGCTAAATTCCTGTGATTTCCTCTATTTTGGCCGCTCCTTTCCTTCATCGAACAATTTGTGCATTTGGAATAAAATTTAGATGTGATAAATGCAGGTGTTGATCCGAATAGGAGCTAAAACTCTGGTGGTGCCAGGAAATTTGCCGGTCGGATGCTCAGCTAGTATTCTCACCGGCTTTCTTACTACAGACAAGAATGAGTACGATCCCCGTAACGGATGCCTAATCCGCTTCAATGAATTCGCACAATATCATAACTCAAAGCTCCACAAAGCCATCCAAGCAATGAGAGAGAGGTTCCCCCACATAAATATCATCTATGCCGACTACTACAATGCTGCAATTCGCTTTGTCCAAACACCGGAAATGTTCGGTACTTCCAAATCCTACCTTTAGATTGTTTTCATTGCAAATGCTTGGCACATATATTGTGTCCCTTTTGAAGGGATATCGACATTATATCTGCCGACCATTCAAAAGACCAATGGTGGAGATGAGCAAATGCAGGGGCAGAGCTCCTCATGAACTATGTCACGTCCATCAGCACATTCATCTCCACTGTAAGATTTCTATGGATGGTTACCTCACATGATATTGCAAATTGAGCTGCATCTTAAGAGAAGGTCGTGATAGAGACCTGGTTTGCTTAAGAAAAATGCTCAAGGCTTGGTGGCCAGTGAAGTTCATTCCCCAAATGATTCAACTTTGTTGGACATCCTGCCCCATGTGGGAGGGACCTCCTTGGTGTGGCCTAATGTGGAGAGGCATTTTTGGGGACAACACCCAAGGACTTGCTAAGCAAGTAATTTGGGGTCTATAAAAGCCCAACATAAGGGGTGGCAATGGGTCGGGTCCGGCTGGACCAGACAGATCCAAATAGTATACGGATCCAGGTTTTGGACCCAGACCCATCAGGTCTAAAAGTTGGACCCATACCTAAACCTATCGGGTCCCGGGTCTATCCCGTTGGATCCCGAGTCTGGTTGGGTCTATTGCCACTCCCACTATGAACTTCTTCTCTTTTTCTTGCCCTTTTTTTACCGTCATATATCTATACTTTTGGTAACAAGGTCACAATCACCCGCTATTAGATTTCAAACCATCTAATTTGTTTTTTAATAACTAAAGATATCTACGAGTTTTTATTGTATATGATCTTTAATACACCCAAAAGAATAAGGCTTGAAATATTTATCTCCAACTTGAAGTATTTATCTCCAATGATTTATAGGTACGGGCGGGTCCAACCGGACCCAGACCCGAATAGTATTCGGGTCCAGGTTTTTGTACCCAACCGACCGAGTCAAAATGTTGGACCCATACCCAGATCCGACCCACCGGGTCAAAATGTTAGAACCATTCCCAAACCGGTGTTGGGTATACTTGGCAGGTCCCGGGTCGTGTCCGGGTCCATTGCTACCCCTACCCAACATAAAGGGGCTCATGTTTTAGGTGATTATTTTCTTTTTAAGAGAAAGAACATGCTTCTTAAAAAGAGAGAAGGCCTCTTATAGAGAGAAAACACTAAGACAAAACCTAAGAAAACATAAGAGATTATCTTGGAGAGAGAGTTTGTTCTTTGGGTGAAGCCTCTAGAGCCTAAGAGAGAAGGGAAGAGAAGGCCCTTAGAGAGGGAGGGAGAGAGAAAGCCCCGAGGCACATAAAACTAAGAGAGAGAAATCCTCTAGATAGGGACGATTTGTATCCTAAGAGAGAGAGAGTTTGCATCTTAGAAGAAGAAGGTAGTTTCTTGATGCAGCTGAACTGCGTCATTTGTTCCACCATTTCCCGTGTATTCTCATTACTTGTAGTAGGTTGCGTACTCTCTTGTGGATGTAGCACAAAAAGAGTGAACCACCTCAATCATATGTTCAATTGTTTTTTTTTTTTTTTTTTTGTTTTGATATCTTGAATGTTTTTCCTACTTCTACACATATAAAAGGTGCTTGCTATTTGTACCATAAGGGTAATGGTTTTGTCGCATGCATCCACATATTTTCGAGAGGGCTCAAATGGTGTGAGCCTGATAGTGGTATCAAAGCTTGTTTCCCCTAAATTCAACACACTTCTTGTTGTCCCTATCACCATTTGCCTGTGAAGTGAGACCTAGCAGTTGCAGGACAAGAATGGAAGGAACCTCCAAGTAACCAGGATCCTCGAGACCACAGTAAAAGGAGTGCTTGGGACACACCATCAATCTGTGGCCATCAATTTGTTGAAAAGAAGGTCTTGATCACCACTAACTATCTTGACTACTAGTAACCACCATGAGCGGTGGTGAACCACCCTGACTACTGGTGACTCATCTTGATCGATGGTGATACACTCTAACTACCGGTGGCCACCTTAGTAGCTGATGACACACTTTAACCACCGATGGCACACCTGTGACCGTCTTGACACACTGTGACTGCCAGTGACCCATCTTGATTTCTAGTTGTAAAACTTATGAAATCCTAGAGAAAGAACATGAAGAGCAGACTACGAATCATTCAGTCCACTCAAAAATTAGTTATATATATATATATATATATATATATATATAGTAGACAAAAATATCCTTGAGGGTAAAGATGAACAAATACTCTATACAATGTTATAAAATATAATCTCATCTTAAGACCCCGCCCTCAAGCCGAGCATATGTCTTGTACGTCAAGAGCTTGTTTGTGGACTCATAGTGTCTTGATCTAGTTAGTGCGTTAGTGAACATGTTTGCCAGTTGATGGGATGAAGGAACAAAGGTCATTGAAATAGCACATGATACAATCTTTTTTCTAATGAACTGATAATCAACTTCTATGTATTTAGTGTAAGCATGGAAGATAGGATTGGTGGCTAAGCGCATGGCTCTTTTATTATTACAAGCTAGAATGGTTAGTTTAATTGTAGAAACATGAATTACCTTAAAGAGCATACGTAGCCAAGTAATTTATGTCGCGACAATACTCATTGCTCTTTACTCTGATTTTGTACTGGATTTAGATACCGAGGCTTGCATTTTGCTACTCCAGGAATCAAACTCTTTCCTAAAAAGAATACATAATCATGTAATGGACCTACGATCATTAGGGCTACCTAGCCCAATTAGCATCAAAGTATGCTTTGAGGTCAGGTGAATTGGAACAAGTATAGAATAAGCCATTATGTATAGATCCCTTTAAATACCTCAAAATATTTTTTGTGGCTTCCCAATGAGGTTGTCAGGGAGCCTGCATGAACTGACTTACTGTATTCATTGCATAAGCAATGTCAAGACGTGTAAATGTAAGATATTGAAGACCACCAACTACACTTCTATATAAGGAAGGATTAGGTAACAATTCCCCTTCTTCAATCATTAACTTCCTACTTACTTCAGCCATAATAAAAATAGGCTTGCATACCAACATCATTGTTTTAGAGAGTAAGTCAATAATATACTTATGTTGGGTGAGAACAATGCCTTTTTTGTTCTGATGAATTTCAATCCCAAAAAATATTTTAGTTATCCAAGATCCTTCATTTCAAAGTTCAGTTTCAAGTCTTTCTTAATATGTTCAATGCCTTTAATATCATTTCTAGTAACAATAATGTCATCCACATAAATTAGAAGGATAACAATACCTGAGGATGATCTTTTAAGAAATAGTAGTCAACCTTGCTTCTTTGAAAACCAACATTATGGAGCAGACAACTGAATTTCTCAAACCATGCCCGAGGAGCTTGTTTGAGTCCATAAATCGCCTTTTTAAATTTGCAGACATGATGTGGTCGTAAGGGATCTTCAAATCTTTTGGGTTGTTGTATGTACACCTCTTTTTTAAAATCACCATGAAGAAATACATTTTTCACACCAAGTTGATGGAGTTTCCAATCAAACATAGATGACAAAGCCATGATGGATCAAATAGTGGGTGCCTTCACAACTGGACTGAAAGATTCGTCATAATCAATGCCATATTATTAATTAATTAAAGCCCTTGGCCACTAGTCTGGACTTCAACCTTTCAATTGAGTCATCTAATCTGACCTTAACTTTGTACACTCATTTTGTGCCCACTACATTTTTGCCTGGATGTAATGGCACTAATTCCCAAGTGTGATTCTTTTTAAGTGCATGAATCTCTTCTTTCATTGAGACTAGCCATCCCGTGTCAGAGACAGCTTCTTCATAGGTGGTTGGTTCTCAAATTTGAGAAATTTGTATTGCAAAGGCTTGATGATCGGAAGAGCATCTCTCTCCCGAGGTATAACTCTCAATGGGGTATTTTGTTCTTAAGATCTTGGAGATGGTGTCAGGAGAAGAAACGGTTGCAGAATAAATCTGGTAGCCTAACAGATATCTAGGAGGTCGTGTGGAATGAGAGAAACGACGTGGTGGTATAGGTGAAACTGCTAAGGGTCCTTCAAATAAATCATGTTACACTATGGAATATGCATCTAAGTTTGAAATATGAGAAGAAAAAGAAATTGGTGAAACAACTGTCAAGGAAATAGGTTGTTGATCTGACATGTTAGAGTGAGGCGATAACTGATAAGGGTGATGTTGCTGAGATGGTTCATCTGTAACTTCAGAGGAGATAGGAGCTTGTGAGTGTATTTTTTCATGCAATTGAAAAGGCATTGAAATAGGTGCAAACACACTATTTGACATGCTATTTGTGTTAGTTTGGAAACACTGGTTCTGACAGTAAAGCCTAGTTTCATCAAATATTACATGTCTTGGAATGAAAAAGCGTCTTGACACTTTGTCATAACATCGGTAACCTTTATGTTCAAAGTTGTATCCAATAAACCCACACTCATAAGCCTTAGGAGAAAATTTATTTCTTTGAAAGGAATAAATGTGTGGGAAGCATACGCATTCAAATACCCGGATAAAAGAGTAATCTGGTTTACTATAAAAAAGCTTTTGGAAGGGAGATATGAAGGACAATGTAGAGCTTGGCAATCTGTTAATGAGATATATAGCAGTGGAAAAGTTTATGGCCAAAGGAATTGAGGTAAACCACTTGCATACATCATGGAAAGACTACTCTCGATAATGTGACGGTGCTTGCGCTCAGCAATACCATTTTGTGCTGGAGTGTACGGACGTGAATATTGATGATGAATTCCCTGCTGACTCAAATATTCTTTAAAAGCATGAGAGGTAAATTCACCTCCACCACCAGAACTAAAAGCTTTGAGTTTGCAAGCAAATTGAGGCTCAACATAAGTGTGAAATTAATAAAACAATTAAACACATTAGATTTTTTCTTCAAAAAATATATCCATGTAAATCGAGTATAATCATCCACAAAAACAACATAAAATTTAGAAACTGATAAGGAAGTAATTGGGGCTGGACCTCAAACATCACTGTGAATTAAATCAAGATGAGCATTACACTTTCTGTTAGAAGAGTTAAGCGTAGACTCGAATTATTTTTCTAACTGATAAGAAGAAAATAGCGAACCAGGAGATAAATCATTAACAAAATTAGGTAACGCTAACTCTCTTCCCAAATTACTGACAGTAGTGAAACTAGGATGACCTAGGCGCTCATGACACAAAATAGCTCCATTGTAGCAAGACCATAGAGTTGATCATTTTGGAGCACGTACAAACCTTCTCTCAATACCCCCTCAGCAATCACCTTCCCACTTTGTAGATCTTTCACAACACAACCATGAGGGGTAAACTCAAAACAACACTTAAAATCTTTAGCAAATTGAGATACAGATATGAGTTGCTTATTTAGTTTGGGAATAAGTAAAACATTAAGAATATTTAAGGAACCAAAGGTAGTGAAAATACTCATAGTTCCAATATGGGTTATAGGTAAGGCAGTACCATCTCCAATGAATACCATACAAGAACCATGGTAAGGAATCATGCCTCTAAGTTGAGAGTTGTCATCCGTCATATGAGCAGTTGCACCGAAATCCATAACCTAAGGACGATCAGTTGGTGTAGTGGTTGATAGATTGCTGAAATCATGCACTGGTGCATTTTGGGGACAATGAGACATTTTTTATGTCCCAACAGTTTTTAGCAATATATCCATATCACCCACAATACTGATAAGTTACGCAAGGTATCATGCCCAATCTTAGTTGAGGAGGTTGATGGAAAGGTGGGTTGGCTCGAAGGATGCCTTGGTGATTTAGGTTATGACCTCTACATCTTCTACCTCCATAACGACTACGTCCTCGAACATATCCACCTCTTTGCCCTAATGATGTGTTCATCAAGGCTTGAGGATTACTTTCAACAATTGATGAAGATACAAATCGAGCTTCATATGTGAGAAGAGAAGATCGAAGCTCTGAGAAGGATGGAAATGGTGGTTTGGTCATCAAGGACGTCTCAAATGACTTAAACTCTAGACTGAGACCTTTGAGGGTATAGAGACATATCTTGATCACTTATTGGACTATCAATTGCTGCAAGGTGGTCACCTATAATTTTGAACTTGTTCAGATATTTAGTCACTGATTGTTTAGGTATTCAGTGAGCAAGTCATCGGAGAGTAGAAAGTAACCAACTCAATAGTATTTTATCTTTCATTCACCATTCCAGAAATTTGGAGTCTTTTGACGGTTCTAGTTTGCTGCCTTGAATTTCTTTTGATTCCTCATAAATAAGTTCATTTTGTGGCCGACTAGATCCATCAAGATGACTTTCAAGATTCAGGCCTTCAACATAATTGAAAACTTAGGTCTTCCATTTGAGATAGTTGTCTCTACTGAGTTTAATAGAGATAAATAATGGGAAGTTTAGCGAGGCCATAATAAAGAAAGTTACTTCACTTGAGATTTTTGAAATAAAGTCTTCACTAGAAGAGAACAAATTCTGAGAGATAATAGGGAGTACCTCGATACCACAGTTTCTGAAGTTAAGAAACAAAATAGGACATACTTCGGTAGATAGAGTTCCGAAGTTAAACAAATAGGCCACATGAACAGAGGTTACCGATTATTTTTTTATTTTATTTTTTTACAAGGGTACAAACACTAACCCTTTCTCAAACACCAACAAGCACTTTCGTTTTGACAAACACCAACAATACCTTTTTCCAGGATTCAAGCCCCAGAGAGGAAAAAAATTTGCAAGGTTGTAGAGAGAAAATCAAGCAATTTTGGGAAGGAGTGAGAGATGATAATCTCAATAGATTGAACAGGGCTATGGCCAAAAGCACTTAAGTTTGTAGAGAGATAATCAAACAATAGAGAGGACAAACTTTTGAGAATGAAAGAGATATGATAATCTCAATAGAATGAACATAGCTATGGCAAAAAGAGCTTAAGTTTGTAGAGAGAGAATCAAACAATAGAGATGACAAACTTTTGGGTAGGAGATAGGTATGATAATCTCAATAGATTGAATAGAGAGGAAAAAAGAAAAGAGAGAAGAGAAATAATGCACTTACAGAGAGGAACAGAAAATAGAGACATTCGTCTTCAAACAAAAAAGAGGAATGATGCGCTTACAGTTGATGATGGTGACACTCTGATACTATGTAAAACTTATGAAACCCTATAGAGAGAGTGCTTATGGGGGCTTAACCACCAGTGAAAGGAAGAAAAAAGGTTGAGATGGGTTGTGGAATGATTATTGTGTTTACATCAAAAATGGATAATAGAACCAGGAACATGATGATTTATTCCACGGGAATAACTAAATTATGAAGAAGTCAAAGATGGAGATCTTTAATACTGTAAGGACTTGTATACACCCATTAAATGATAGAGCACAAGCCAGAAGCTATGATCAAGAAAGAGTAGACAAATGGCTATTGAAACTAACCAACAATAGTTGGCGATGTTGTATTCCAGTATGTGTCAAGTGAGACATTTGTTAATTTAACAATAGAACAAGCTACATGACTTGTACGATTATAAATAATAAGTTCTTCATTCGGAAGTTAGTGAGAAGTTTAAGAATGGGGGCTCCATTGCAAGGCACTTGAATGAGATATAAAGCATTGTTCACCAGCTCATAATGATGAAGATGTTCCAAGATGACAAGCTACATACTATATTGTTACTATATAGTTGGGAGACTCTGGTGATCTCCCTAAACAACTCAGCACTTGAGGGAAAAATAACTATGAGTCAAGTCTCCATCAACCTACTAAATGAGGGATGAGAGAAGAAGATCTTCCGACACATTGACCTCACAAATTGAGGAAGTCCACATACCGGATAAAATTATATCGAAGTCGAGAAAGGGGTTCACATGCTTTTATTATGGCAAGAATGAGTAAATAAATAGAGAAGGTCAAAAACTTAAGAGATAGAGGCAAAAGGGCAATGCCAAAAATAATGATAGGGATGTAAGGTGGCTAACTTAAAGAAAAATAGTGTATATATTCAAAAAATTTCTTTTTTAATATCAACAAATATGTTTACATGTGCCACTTACAATGAGAAAATATAAAATAAAAATCCTACTAATACCTAAGAATCCACGTTTACTGTCACAACCGTAAAAATTTATTCATAAAAGAAATAAAATTACAAGATAATTGTGAATCAAGAACTAGTGTGTGTGTGTGCATAAATGAAAAAGTGCTTTCGTCGTTGTGGAACAAGAAACCTTTGTATCTTAATGCATGTATTTGATTTATTTGGAGCAATTAGAGCGGGATCCACTTTTGGGGGAATCTGAGTCAAAACAATAACAAGAATATTTCTAGTGAAACATCTTTCACAATATCTAGAGAGATGATTCACTAATAGACCAAAGGATAAGTCATTCGCCTCATTCATATATAGATCATGAATTGTTTAGAAACCATATTATGCAAGGAGAAATTGCTTTTGCTAATTCTAATTGAGGGGTGATATCAAACTGGTTCATTTTCGATATCATATACATATAATGAGACCATTTACCTTTGATTCAAGGAGATCACAATTACTTATAGTCATCCGATGTGAAATCTAATAGTTTCTGTTTGTCACAAAGTTCGAGAAATTTATTTTTGAATTTTGAGATTAGTCGATAGAATAAGTGCAACCAACCAAGGTCACATCGAATGGTCAAGATCAATTGTGACCATCTTATAAAGGTAAATGGTTTCATTATATACTTTTCCTATATCATGGGTTTTGGTAAATGGGTCGATTAAATGGAAGAAGATTGTTTCTCTCTTTAAAGAAAAGACTCCCGACTTTTTTGCTCCCTGGTTCATGGGTTGAAGTTTTGTGAAAAGTGAAGTGGTTGTCCCCGATCTTACACAAAGTGGTCCTTAAGAATAGTCGGCTAATCGGGGTGGTGAAATACAATAATGGACGGCGATCTCTACAATAAAATTCACTTCCTTTTAAACTGTTTAGTTGCGGATGTTGTGACCTATTAAACAAAACCTTTGATCAAAAACCATTTCCCTCTTGGGATGGACAACCCACGTTACTTTGCCAATATTTACAAAACCATTTATGCATCTCCTCAAATTGTTCAACCAATATTTACAAAACCATTTATGCATCTCCTCAAATTGTTCAAGTTCAATATTTTGAGAAGTGATTTACGCACGGGCTTTAAAATTTTATATAAAATACAAAATGTTCTACTTATATACGAAAATTACCAAGAAAGTTGGTCAACCTGGGTTTTAAAATTTTTTCAAAAGTGCCCCTCGGTCAACTTGAATTTTGATTTTTTTTATTTATTTATATATATATATATATATATATATATATATATATATATAT